GACAAAGTTTCGTTCTTGTTGCCCAGGCTGGAGTGCAATGGTGCAGTCTCGGCTCACTGCAACCTCTGCCTCCCAGGTTCACTCGATTTTCCTGCCTTAGCCTCCCGAGTAGCCGGGATTACAGGCACCCACCACCACACCCAGCTATTTTTTCTGTATTTTTAGTAGAGACGGGGGTCTCACCATGTTGCAAGGCTGGTCTCAAACTCCTGACCTCAGGTAATCCACCCACGTTGGCCTCCCAAAGTGCTGGGATTACAGGTGTGAGCCACCACTACCGGCCCCAGTTTTTTGTTTTGTTTTATTTTGTTTTTAGACGTAGTTTTGCTCTTGTTGCCTCAGCCGGAGTGCAATGGCGCGATCTCAGCTCTCCACAACATCCACTTCCCGGTTTCAAGTGATTCTGCTGCCTCAGCCTCCCAAGTAGCTGGGATTATAGGCATACACCACCACGCCCAGCTGATTTTTCATATTTTTAGTAGAGGCCAGGTTTCTCCTTGTTGGTCAGGCTGGTCTCGAACTCTCAACCTCAGGTGATCTGCCTGCCTCAGCCTCCCAAAGTTCTGGGATTACAGGTGTGAGCCACCGTGCCCAGCCAATTTTTTTTTATATGGAGTCTGGCCCTGTCACCCAAACTGGGGTGCAGTGGGATGATCTTGCCTCACTGCAGCGTCTGCCTCCCACACTCAAGCAATCCTCCCACCTCAGCCTCCCAAATAGCTGGGACTACAGGCATGCACCACCACACCCAGCAATTTTTTTGTGTGTATTTTTAGTAGAGACGGGGGGGTCTTGCCATGTTACCTAGGCTGGCCTCAAACTCCTGAGCGCAAGCTATTTCACCCGCCTTGGACTCCCAAAGTTCTGGGATTAGAGGTGTGAGCCACCATACTGGGCCCCAGAACACATATCACCTTGAATCATTTCTAGTACCACATCAAGTTATCTCCTGCACTATCGATAATACATTGCACATAATTTAATGTACCTCAGAGTATACCTGTAAAATTTGACTTACCAGATTTTTGTAATGCTATGATTAAAAATATCACCTGAACCACAGTTAACAGACATGACACTGACCTTACCTCTAAATTCAAACCCCCATTGTTCCAGATATCACATCTCTCCATCGTTGTCATCTATCATGATTTCATGTTTATTTCTGTTGTATTTGATGAAGACTCTGTGCTCCTTTAACATAGTGGCTTTATCTTTTTCACCATGGCTTCCACACAGCTTAGTAAAAATGCAGCACATGGAGAATATTAAGCAAACGTTGTTAAAAGACTGCTGCATGAATGAGTGGATAGAGATATGCCTCTCTTTGCCTCTGTGAAGCTTCTCTGGAAAGACAACAGAAAGGCTTGTGGCTTATATGTGCAAAGATTCAGAAAAGAAAATAGAAAATAATGGGAAGAAGTAATAAGATATCTGTCCCAGCATGTGCTGTTCCTTTCTCCCTGTAGGCACTCAATAAATACTCAAAAAGCCAAAGATTGCGTTGAAAGAAGAATAGATGGTGTATAAAGGACTAACATGGTATTATTTGTGACCATAATACATTCTTACAAGTGAAAGAATAATCTTAGCCCCGGTTTTACTGGCCCACATGGTTATTAACCTGTAACATCTTAACAGGGCTTGAAAAGGCAGCAGCACTTATTTTACAACCCTGCTCTCTCAGATAAAAAGAAAACAAAAAATCTCCCAAGCTGTTAAAAAAAGAAAACAAGGAGGAAACAAATCAATATTCTAAGTTTACCTAGTATGGCCCACTATTCTCCATGAGCAACAGACTTTACAAATCATTCCTAGAATAACAGTATACGATAGAGACA